TGCTGCGACCAAAAAGAATAAGAGGCCAGCGAAACTGACTTATTCATGCAAAGTCCGGCTGCTTCATCGCTGCCATTTTTTAATGATCAGAAGTGGATGGATGCCTTGTTTTCTTTTTCAGGGATACCTAAGCAAATAATTTTAAAATGCGTGTAAATCTGTAAATAGAACGCAAGAAATAAATTATATTGTTTAACAGTGATTTTGGAAGAATCAAACTTACCCTGCAAGTTACAATCTTGATGAAATATTAGTAACATTACAATGACTGCTACAAAGTTAACCATGATGAGAGCAGAAAAATATTCCTGAATTTTACATGGAAAGTACATTACCTTAAAGTACCCAAGCACTGCCACGTTTCGCAGCTCCATAACTTCAACTCTCTGTTTTTGTCGCCAGCAGTCAAAGCGAACTTCCAAAACTGAATGCTAAAACGTACAATAAACTATTATTTAGAAAACACGATATCAAAGTACTTTGGAGGAGCATCAACGGGAGCATCGAGAAACATAATGCACGTCACAAACTTTCCTTCGTGAGGTGTCCAATTCTGGACGCATACGATTTCTTGAATGTTTTCCAGTATGTAAAACTTAACCTCTCCGCTTTCGGTGGCAACGGCAAGGGCCGTCGAGTCCGGCGACAGGGTGACATACGTCACTGGCTAAATGATGAACGTGCGATTTTAAATCTGATACAGAAATGGATGCTAAATAACGAACTATCTGTTAGATCAACTCTTTACACGACACGATATACGATCTAAATGCCAAACACGAAGAAAATCAATGGCAGTTGTTTTTAATGCCGAGGATTATTCAATCTGAAGGTGACGAAGAAACAGTGAAGCCGAACGGTACACGCTAAATCTACAACTTAATTATAACAGAAGACAATCACTGCTTTACATACACAGCTTTTGGAAGACGTCGTGGTGTGGGAAATGTATCTTGGTTCACAAACCTGTACCAACGACAAGTAGATGTAATCTAGTGTAACAGACGGGGTGAAGGTCAACTGATCATTCACCGCTCCTATTTAGCTTTAGTGACCTCATTAAACCGGATAAAACTTGTATTTAAATACCGTGTAGCTTAATATTATGTTGACAAATGACATTAATATGGCCTCAAGTCAAAACAGTTTTAGATTTTAGTGCTTCAGTGTTTTTGATTTGTCTAGGCACCTTAATTCCTTTCCTAAACTACGTTATATCACGCTTGAAACTGTTACATACAAACCTGCTTCACGGATAAAACACAATTTCATTCGCGTAACTAACAGCAGGTAAAGACTAACGTAGTGACTGCGTAAGAATGAAAGAGGCAGTTTGCTGCCTGCAAAACAGTTTCCTAGCCTACTGGGGTAGCTATCAAAAAAGCCTATCAAGAAATTCAAAACAATTAAATGAGGCAGTAAAAATTCCCTATATGACAAAACTCTTCATGTCTGAAGGAAAAATCTGCTGGGGAAAAGGTAACAGAAAAGGAAAGTCGGAAAGACAGGGGCGCAGAGATGAAAAGAACAAAATGTTCGAAGTTATAATGAGTTGACATTCAGAAAAATGCAAAGAGAGTTTCCAACGGTTAGGATATCAATCTCTCTTACACTTCCATAAGTGAAACTACGATACCTGTGGGCCCTTTCTTTCAGAGCTATGGTCCAATGGTGATCACCCTTTCGATTCAATCAACTATCAACTGTGCCGTTTTGAGATATTGTGTGCAGCTATTTGGCTATCATAGCGCGCAGTCTCACGTCTGCTTGCTGGTAGTACTCCGGTGACCTGCCACAGGATAATAAAAGGCGATCAACCTGGCTATGATTCAAACTCGTTACAACGGTGTATCCAGCACTGCTTCGACTGAGATATTCTGACCGTGACTCACAGACGGAGAGACGTGTCTGTAGTCGTGTTTTTTAAAAAAAAGAAAACTTTAACTTTAAATTCTAGTGCATCATAATACTATTATACTGCAGTAGAATTTCCAGAGGCAATCAATGTACTCTGGGCAGACTATCCACCGCCTCTGAGATAGAAAGGCAGTCTGAAGGTCACTGAGTACAAGTCTGGAAGCCTTCTCATCAAAGAAGAGGATATACTTCGGGCCATGGCGAGAGTACTTTGAGGAACTTGTTAACCCTGACGAACAGTAGGAAAATTCCTTTGAAGTGCTGTCTGTGTTCGCTGCCTGAGATTATCCCCCTGAGCCCTATCCAAAAGCAGAACGTGTCTGATTTATAGTATTCCCTGTACCCGCAGCTTTTCAACACTTTTGAAACAAGGCACTAGTTACCTTCTCCGAAAGCAGATTTGTCTCTACACTGTTTCGCCATGTTGCATACCCGCTACCTGGTCGATGTCGCTGTGTTTTGACTCCAATACGAGAAGTTCACGGGCTGGAGTAAATAGTGTATGCTCAACTAAACTGTATAACAGTAAAATCCTTTTTCTTAATCTCTACATCTACTGAGGTCACTTCTGCCTGGAAGTGAGTAGAGACATTTCTTACGTTGCTCCGCCATTTAACCCTGATTATGCGTTGAAGCTAACGCTGATGTGCGCAATTCAACCATCATTCTTAAACCTTCGTTAGAACAACTGTCGCTAAGCCGCCACAGCAATACTGACTTTACAGAAACATGTTATAAGTGGATATCCATGAGAAGAATAATTCTTTCCTCAGCTTCAATAATCGACAAGTTTTCAAAAGCACTAGAGGGTAGGGCGATCCTTCAATTCAACTCTGGCTGGAAAGTGTCATCGCTAGAGATACTGGAGCCGAGACAAACAAAAACTGGTCAACTTCCTGAACGGCTTCATCTTCCTGTTCATTTGTAGATCAGTTGTGCCGGATGGGATCTTCATAACATCTGACTTAGGCGTTAAGGACGAGGCCGGCTTTCGCAGCTGGGTTGTATATGGAAGCCGTCAAGTGACACAGCCCACTCCCGCTCTACTCGCTATGACAAAACTGTCCGCGTGTTCCAGGTCAGCAACATATCTAGTCGGATATTTTGAACCGCGCCTTCCCTTTAAAATGAGGCCTCCGTCATTTCCGGCTGCGGCACTGTTTAAGAGAGAAAAAATTGAAAACAATGTTGAATTGCACAGGCGAAAGCATATTTCACTGGTGAACGCCAAGTTAACAGGGAACCGTTTAGATAACTCTCCTTCAATTAGGACAACGCCCATGGTTCCTACATGCATCTCTTCCAAAACCAAAACGATGTATGCAGGTATCCTATAGCATTTCGAAATTTTCCATATCGTCAGACAGTGTAATGAATCAGATGGAGCTTTAGCCTCAAACTTGAGGAAACTGGAATCGTCGAAAAACATCGCTGCTCAATGATCCTGCGTGAAGTGAAATCCTAGTCTGGGCGGGGGAGTACCCGATCCGGAAGAATCTGGGGAAAGTCTGTCATCAGTTGCGCACCTCAGCCCTTCCAGGATAATCCAGAAGAAACGTTACCCGGGAGTTGATAGCGTTGTGATACCATGATAACTGGAACACTAAGTTACCTATATATATATGGATAATTGTTGCACGCTTACATTCTCCTCAGAAACGTTTATGATTCACATTTAATGAAACAGGATATGGGGCCTTTCTACCATTTCCGTTCCTCCATGCTTAACTAACTCAGGAGGAATTCGATCTACCCACAGGCCTTCTTCACCTTGAGGTGTAACAAGGACTTCTGAATTTTTAGTTTTGTGGGTGGATTCCTACTAACCTGCAGTGTTGGTCATAAAAGACGAATCTGGAAGGCAGCCGTTTGGAAACTGCCGAAAATGATTAGCCCATCATTTAAAGCATTTCTTCTGTCCGTCAAATGAAACATTTTTAGCGTCTTGGACAAAGACAGCCCGAGTTCCCTGCTTACCGGACAACCATCTTATCCCTCTTAACAATCGATCTTCCTGATTTCCCCTTGCGGTTTCTGTTTCACCTGTAGACCAGGATGATTGCACGAACGAGCCGAGAAGATTACTGTTTGCAAGCGACCTTCTTTTGTTGCAATCTGAAAGTGATCTTCGACGCTCTCTGGAAAGGTTCGCAACCGACTTGCATGCGAACGTATCTAAAACGAAAAGCCTAGTGCTTTCGCGTTTTCCTGACCGTTGCTCTCTTCAGATAAATGGAGAAGCAGTGGAGCAGTTGAAAGCGCTCTATGACGCGTCTGTCTCCAAGATCTGAAAGGATAAACAGTCATCGAAACTGACCGATAGTATTTGTTTTTATCAGTTTTATCATTTTATAAGGCAGTATTTTTCTTGTTTCGATCCAGATGTCCAAATTTTTATTTAAAGCTGGAAGGACACATGCACTTTACTTTTCTGCCTTCACTCTGTGTTAATCTAAACGCTTAATAACATCTGGTTCTTTGAAAGGCTAGTTACTGAAGAATTTTCTGAGTACAAGGACTAGAAAGCTTTCTTATATCAGTTGAAATGATACGGACATGGCTTTCAGAATACATACGATAATATGACATGTTATTTTGTATTTCAATCTGCATCGTTGACAATCACATAAAAAAGTATATTATTACGCAATTTATGCGTTTGTGTTCCGAAATTTGCAACTTCTAACGCTTACTGAGTCTTCATGAATAACGCAGCAGCCACGGTTGAGTTCACTGAATTCGACCGAAGCACCAAACTGCCTTTTCAATTCGTGAGTGAAAATCACATCGACGTCGTTGCCATGTGATACCGCTACCAGACCGCTGAGGTATTCTTCGATATTTGACTTGCCTTTATCCGACACGTACGGGCAACACATCAATCGATAGTAGTCATGTTTTTCTACAGGTAGAGTGCTGCGACGCACAGTTAGCCATATCTGCCTAGACACAACAAATATTACACTGAAAGATTCTAAGAAAAATTCTTACGTGATCAGGTCCTTTCCGTTATCCGTCACTTCGTAAATGAACAGATTAGCCGCATCATCGAAAACTCCCAACAAAAGCGGGTGGCGGCTGAACAGCCACATAATGTCAACAACCATCTCACTAGACGCCTTGATGAGCCCTCGACATTCCGTTGATCGCTTATAAACTCGAATATTGCTGCCTTGGGTGCCTAAATCGCTCTTTTCTAACAGAAACAACGATATATTTGTATATCCTCACTTAAATGGACATCTGAAGTAAAATTTCTGTAATTACCACATCAGAGATTCTCGTCTCAACAGTACAATCAAAGCTACGGTATCAACAAACAGCGAACACTAATAATAAAAAATCTTTCCCTTGCAGTTAAAATAAAACAACCTGTAAGGAAAGATATAACTCAAAAATTGGAACTAACAGATTGCATAAAAACACAACTTGTTTCATTTATCTACTTATCAGAGTGCAAAGCAAAGCAGTCAAATTTAATCACAAAAATGCTCAGCTCTGCAATCAGAAAAGCTACGAACAATCTTTTAAAAGAAGTTAAATATTAAATAATCATCTTGATCAAACAATCTTAATCCTCTAATCTGGAATAGGAAGGCTCAGAATCTACGGCGCCTGCGATTTCCATTCTCAGAAACTTACCGACCTTCGACACACCAACAATCAGTTGAAGAAATATCATATCTGACATTGAAACTAACGATACTGGATTCAAACGGCAAAAATGCAGTGTAAAGAAAAAATGTACCTCATTTTACATTAACTGCATTATTGCACTGCCCTCTTGATTCTACGCTCCTAGAGGGCCATTTATGCAGCCCAGGCTAAATGATACTAAAGCGTTTACAGCGCAATAATCCGTAAGTAAATACAATCAAGACAAAACAACCCTGATGTTCTGTGGTAGTTTTCGATCCGATAATATTTTCAACGACATGTATTTAACGGCGGTATCGAAATCTACCCTAGAACATTGGGTCTATTTTATCTTGACTGTATTTGCCTATGTATCATTTCTACCACTTGTATCTGGGACATAACTCTTTCCATCGTATAGCGGTCACGGGTGGCGTGGTGGCACAATGCGTAAAAGGTCGGTTACGAACTCGAACTCCAGAGGTACCGAGTTTAATTCTCGCGCAGACAATCACTGTCTTTACCACGAACTTCCATACGCCAAAAATTTATCACACGTTGCTTCGGACCGGGGACTCAGTCAGTAGAGCGTCGGACACAACCGAAATGTTCTAAGTTCGACCTCCGGGCAGAGTCACTCGCCCTTCTTCCTTCCACAGCTAATAAAGTACAACTGTGATAAATGAATGAAAAGGAAACAAGAGAATACAGACTATGTTTCTTCAATAGCTACTATCGATTCTGCCTATAAAAGTAAGACATTCCTGACCAGTGACATGGAAATGGAGATCATGCTCCTTTCTCACAACTAACTTCAGCTGTCGGTTGATTCCTTAGAGAATGTTGGCGAATTTATTGTTCTCGCAGAAATGAACTGCATAGCGAAGGGCTCCAGCTCGCAACTTACAAGTCAGCGAGGCACCAAGAAATCCGTGATTCCAACAGTCAACAGTACAAGAAATAAGTTCCGCCTTACATGCTGGAACGCTCGTTCCCTCCCTGGCGAACGCAAGTTAAACGATTTCTGCCGTACGGTCCATCGATGCAAACGCGGTCACGGAAGCATGCCTCCCAGAGTAGGGGACACTTGACCTGAAGGCGGAGGATCATTTCGGTGGTAACATCACAGTGAATTACGTCATGCCGATGTGGACATCTTTCTGTCTCCTACAGTAGGCCGGGCGATCATTTCGGAGAAAGAGGTGTCGGGGAGAATCCTGGTAAATCGCGTGAATGTCAACGTTGAATGACGGCGACAAAGATGTTTCAAATAACTGCGTGCGCTCGGCTATTAGCGTTTTGTCACGTCACAATTGCAAAAGGCTATCTCAAAGCTAAGGTGTGCGAAACTCATGGCCAGGCATTGTAGCCGTCACAGTACTTACAGGTGAATAACGAGGGCAGACGACTTTTACGCTTTTGCGCCACACACAGCTTAATCGTCGGTGGGATAATTTTGCTTCATAAGCGTATTCACCAAACCACCCGGACGCCCCCAAATGGAAACCTAAAAACCCACCTGGACCGCGTCCTCATCAACCAACCGCAAATGGAGCGGCACGTTACTCGAGACTGGCGTCAGGCGTGACGCCTGCATTAGGTCAGATCACCATACGGTTGAACTGGAACTTCACCTAAAATTTTCCGTCTGGTCGAAGCACATTAGCCGCTCGATGTTGACAGACTAATACATTATGAAGCGGAGCGACTGACCTACCAAAAAGACAATTATTTTAATGCCATCTTTAGACCAGTGAAAAGGTGGCAACATCGATGCAGCTTACAAAGACTTCAAAACACTGTCATTTTTCAGTTGAAAAGCGTAGTTTGGGTGAGAAAGAGAACAGCGAGACTGTCCTGGATTTCGGATATCCTGGCCCTTAGAATGAAAGAAGGCAGGCAAAAAAGGAGCACTTGCGACACCAGGATGTAACCTCGAATGGAGCTCGTCGCCGTCTTGTTTGTGCAGTCAACCAGAGCTACAAGCGAGGCGTAACTTTGATTAAGGGGAAATCATTAAGATCGACAAGGCTACCAGAATGGATGACTGGGGAACAGTGATCAGAAAGGTGCGACAATCGTCAAGTAAGCAGGGGACTCTTTCTGTCCATATCCTAGATGTTAAGGCTGTCCCACTGGGAGGTGAGAAGAAATGCCTCAAAAGATGGGCTCAGCTGGTGCTCAACGGCTGTCCTCCATATTCGCCATTTCTGTCAGTTAATTCTCAGCCAACACTAGAGGTTAGTACAGATCCACCCACAAATGAGAAGTTAAAAAAGACTTAAAGATGAAAAGTCCTAAGTGGTAAATCGATTCGGGGATAATTAAACATGGAGAAACGGGAATGGTAGAAAAGCTCCATGGAACCGGCCATCTTTAGTGCATCTAGTTGTTTCTAGGTCCGTGAAGTAGACAAACTTTCGCATATTCCCATTATTTTTCGTAAACCTAGCAGAGATATAGACGCTATATACGAAGATGCGCTCGGGAGGGAAGTAACACTATTCGCTCTGTAGTTTCGCTGTGTCATTCATTGGCTCGATCTTTCCCAGCAGTTTGCAAAATCTTGAAGAGGTTGGTTGAACAGAGAGATAACTCAGTAGCTGTGGTCTTTTCGATTCCTTTTTTTTAACACGGGAATAACCACCCCGTATTACCAAGGCTAAGGTGCTTTTTCAAAAATCTGCGCAATCTTGCATACAGGAGTCAGACCGAAAAGACCATCGCGATTCATGGCTTTTCAGCGGTTCAAGTCAGACTTCGTCTTCATGACAAGCTTTGCAGCTTTACAGCGGCTTAGTCGTCGCTGTCTTCCAACCCTCAGTATAAAACTGCTTTCCGTTTAAAAAAGCACACAGCACATATTACCAGAATCTGAAGAAATGGAACTTAGGCAATCTACTAAGTATTTCCGTCGTCCTCATATGATATCTCGCTTGCAACTGAACGGGTTTCATCCGAACTTTCCAGTTTGGGAGCTAAGTAATCTCTGACGGCAAAAACGGCGAAGAGCCAGACTGAACTTGGCTCACTTGCAGCGAGAGATGAGTTTTGCTGGAAACGGTTTTCCATCACTCGCCCATGCAACTATGCTGCCCTAGGTGTACTGAATATGCAAAGAAGACGAGGAAATTTTACAGGAAAGTCAAAGAAGCATTCTTCATAGTGACGGCGAAAATAACCATCTCCACTAGAGTTCCTTTTATCACCAACTGCATCACCAAGCTGTTTTAGCCCAAAACGCAAACAGAAAGGCGTGCTTATGGCACTTTAAACAATGGTGACTACTTCTATGCCAAAGGTCGGACACAAGACACGCTTACACGTCATGTGTCATCCGCAAACCGTTTTTCAAACCATTCTACTAAAATGTTAATCTTGTTCGATAGGCAAATTTCAGTCTATCGATTTCGTAATGGATTTTGAACAGAACAATTCGCAGACAACCAGGCATTAATATTTGAACAACTTTACCCTCGTTTGACCTCAAAACTCATTTTTATCTTCCATTACCACTTATCCTTTTGGGTTGCGGAGGCAGACGGGCAGAGGAACGGACGTTTCCCATGGTGTGCCAGAGTCTGAGCTTCGGCACAAGACAACCAGAGTCTGCTATAGAGCAGAGTCCTTTTATATATTTGCACCAAGTTAATTTTGGCTATTCCCTGGGCCTTCTGCCGGTCGGCGTGGCAAGCAATAATTGCTTTGCCTTCCTTTCTGGAGGCATTTGCAACGCGTGCCCAAACCATCGGAGCCGTAACTTCTCAATTTAATAATGC